GATGAATTTTAAATTAACTTTAAAAAATACTTTACTAAATATTTTTTAAAAAAAATACTATTACTTGCTTGATTTGTGAGTTGAGAACTTAATTAATACAACGTATCTATTTCCCTTAAGTATTTAAAAAGGTGTTCGATAATTAAAAAGGTACTATAATGATATTAATGCAGAAAACATCTTTATAAAGGTTAATTTTTGGAGCAAAAATTTCGAGTCTCTTTTTGGTGATTAAATTGTAAATGTGATATTCGTAAAGTATATATTCTCAAATTTTCAAATGAAAATGCCATTTTGTAAGTTTCTTGTTTATCTAACACTAAGACAAAGTCTTTTTCTGTTTAACTAATTTTCTTAAACTGAATAGACTATTCTTTTGGAGAATATTAAAACGGTTCGTTTTAGCCGTGGTGGCTCAGGAGAAAAAGCGTAATGAGGGGAACCGGGTTCGAATCCCAACAGTGTCTGGTCAATATGAATTCCGCACCCGGCTTGCACCGACAACAATGCTGACGTAAAATATCCTCAGTGGTTGACGGATCATGGACTAGAGTCCCCTTACTGTCAGGCTAACAATTGGAGTTTTTTATCACTTTCCTCACATTGTAATGCAACTGCGGGTTTGTTCCATCAAAAAGTCCTCTTCGAAGGCAAATTTCTCCTAATACTTGATACAGGATTTCCTTTGTTTACTGGATTGGGTTCCAAATTACTTGGGTAGGGTGTTCAACATTGGTAGTCGTAAACTCCAAATTGGGTCGGAGGTTAAACAACGGTTATAAAACAAAACAAAACGGTCCGTTTTTTTAACGGAAATAAATTGAATACTTTGGTGTGCATACAAATTTTTGGTTAAAAGTTAATATTTTGAAAAAGGTGGCAATGAGAATAATCTTTATCACAATTTTTATAATAATTGACAAAAAAAAAATTTCACATCAAAAAAAATTAAAAACGTAAAAATCGGGTCATGCATTCTTAGAAAAGTTGTTTGTGTGCTTTGAAAGCAGACGAAAAACAGACATCGAGGCAAAAGCAGCTTTAAAAAGTTCATAAGGTAAATATATTACAGTAAATCATAGACGTAAAATTAAATAATATCTGACTTAAAAAATTTCTGAATATAGGCGTCAGAGTTTACAGTTTTGGCAAAATTTCAACGAGTGGTTTGCAAGATATCTAAAAATTGAAAGAAATGTAACCCTTTCTCAAATAAGAGACGTAAAAAAATTTTATTTCAGATAAGGAACAAAAACAACAACAAAAACTTTTTTCTTCCAAAAAATCAGTTCCCAATGCTAACTCTGCACACAAAGAACACGTTTGATCAAAATAATTTAAATTATTCGAACTATTTAAGGAATGTTATTTACTAGAAAAGAAAACACTATTGCTTTTGTTTTTTGTGTAGGAAACAAATTATCCACCAAGTTTCTTGTCTGGCAGACAAATTAATAGCTTTTAAGTGCTCTATTTTTAAATTTCAGTCCCTTAAAGTTTATAACATTTTTTTAGATAAATAGTTCATCTGTTTTACTAATGTAAAAACTTTTAAATAAGAGGAGTTTAAACGAATTTTCTTTTTAAGCATCCTATTTATTTAATAAAAAAAAACAAATAAAGAATTCTTCTTGAATTTACTGAGTTTGGAAGAAAAAATATTTGTTTATAACTTAATTCTTTTTTTTTTCTAGAACTCCTATTTTAAGACGACTACAGTTTTTTTTTCTTTTTTCTTAAGTTTTCTAAAAGAAAAATTTTGAAACAAAAAGAAGAATTTGCTCATTTTTCCTAAATTTTCTTTTGTCCAGATGCAGCATAAAACTGTTTTCAGTATAGGTTATGTAAAGGATATTCAGTAATTACAGCTTTTAATATATACTTTTAGAATCTATAACAAAAATAAAATTTTTTTTAAAAATTAACGCATCACAATTCTCTAATTAATCAAAAAATACTACAACGTTGTCAAGCAAACAATTATTATCGGATACAGTAATATAATCGGATACAGGGTGTGATTGAAATAATCAAAACCGGCTTGTTTGCTGGGGGGGGGGAAACGGAAGTCGTTTGAAATAATCCCTTTTCACATCCTCGCACGACCTTTCAGTTTCATACGACAATTCATTCATTTTAAATAGATTCCAGAAACTATCTATTTAGAAACAATGTTAAGTCACAATTTATTGAAAAATTGTCCATTTGTAAAATGTGTGACTTATCACAATATTGCCCAAAGAGCTTAATTTATTAGGAAAAATATTTTAAGTATTCCTTTTGAAAATCAAGTAAATAAAAAAAAGTTTTCTTTTATTATTCTAATAATAAAATCCATAATGTTCTGCCTGTATTTTACCTTGAAAATCTCGAAATTCGATTTTTGTCATTAACTGTTTGATGTTATATCAGGACTGGTCTACGTAAATATGATTCTCTAACCAAACATTTCAGTTTAACTAGCTAAATCGGAAATGGCACATTAAAAATGCCTTAGGCGATAATAAAATAATTTTGATTTATGACCCTCTAGCAAGCATACTATTAGAAGAAACAGAATAAAATTCTGTGCAAATGTATTATATCAATTAAGAGTATAATATATTTTTGGTTACGGTTACAGCAACAAGGTTCCGAACTTTTCAAATATCGTCGAAACTTTTCAAATATCGATCCTTAAAATAAAATAAAAAAAATAAAAAAATAAAAATTTAAAAAAAATAAATAAATAAAAACTTAAAATGGAGTTTAAGCAATAAATTTAGTTCTAAATAGAAAGAAAAAAAAAGGAAACATTGGTTTTGACGTAGCCAATTATTTCGAAAAATATCTTTCCAACATCATTCATCTCTGGTGTTCTACTATAAGTAGGGGAGCGTGGGGTGAATTGTAACATTTTTTACTTAACTATTTTTAACTAACAAAAAATCCAATATATTATTAGTATTAATTGACAGATGAGTAAAGTAGACTACCCTCTACTAGAAAAAAAAATAAATACTACCTTATTTTAAATGTTATTATATTAGTTATTAGAAATTTTTGACAGTCATGCACTTGTTACAATTGTCCTCACTTACGGGGTCAATTGTAACAGTTCATAAATTCCACTAAAACATACTTATACATTGTCCCCACTTACGGGGTCAATTGTAACAGTTCATAAATTCAACTAAAACATAGTTAATTATACATATTATCATAGTTGTGATATATTTTTTTATTGATCAAAATAGTAGTGATATTTTAGGAGTAAAAATAATAATGAGCAGAGACCTAAAGGGTTAAACTTTTAACTTTAAGGGGTTAAAAATTTTAATTTATGCTGTGAAAGGTGACAAATAAAATAATGCACATGCAACATAATATAAATGATATAGGAAACTATTGGTGGTTCTTAAAGAGTTAAGTAATGGTTTGTAAACATAAGATTATTTATTTTCAGCTGTTACAATCGTCCCTTTACTTATTGTTACAATTGTCCCCAAGACGCCATTTCAGCTTCATTTGTTAAAAACAATGCTAGTTAATTAGCAAAACTAATCTTTTTTTTTTTGAAATGTTAATTAAAGTGTCCACTTACATATTCGGTTACTAATTTTTATTTGTTTAAGCAAAATTACTTTGTTACAATATAATATTCTAATACCAAAAAAAGTACGTGAAAATATGTTTTGTGATGTAACTCTTTCAAAATTACATAAAAATGGTTGCCAGCAGGGGTGTACATGTAGATTTATTAAATACACCTTGTGCGCCACCTAGGAACCAAATGTAGAACCCTTCACTCGAAATTTTTGCTCTGTTACAATCGTACCCTGTTACAATTGACTCCACTCTCTCCAATCACTTAAAAAAGATGTAATTTGTTAGTTTGAAATTCGGAATTGAAATTTCGCAGATGAAATCGTAACTATGAGAGAAGTAGTATAATTGTTTTTAACACTGTTCTGGAGAGCAAAACTTTTTTTCAGTTTTCTACAAAATTCAAAATTTAAAGCCTTCCTCTGAAACTTTATACTCCCCAGGTGTTGCCAACGAAGTTATTTTATAATCTTCCTTATTTAATTTGAATCGATTTATTTAAGGGAGCATGACAAGCATGTAAGTTATCAAGCATTCGTTGAATCATCTATTGTTGCATATTGCACCCTAGGCCATAAATTTAACTTTTCTTAATGTTGAAATTCTTTCCATCCCTGTCACATTACCCCATCTTCATGGTCTTGCATCTTGTTTCATTTATATGAATGCCGATTCTCTTGGTAATAGCATCAGTTCCTTTCCACGTCTACATTCCGCTTGGAAATGTATCCTGTCCTACTTTGCTTTCTTCAGCCATTGTCGCTCCCTTCGACTCTCATGTTTTTTTTTTTTCTAGTTCTGTTTTCCTCTTTAATTTCTATTTTTCGTGGATAACTTTGCGTTTCTTTCTTTCACATTTGTTTTGTTTTCATCATTTATTGCTCGTAGATTGGTCTTAAAAAAGGGCGCCGTATTTAGAGGGTTTGGAAGATGGCGACTTTTGTTTGTCAACCTTAAAAGCTAATGCAATATTTCCTTTGACAAGTATATCTTTCTGTTTCAGTTTCTAGGGATTATTCGCTTTAATTCTGTATGGTGCTGAGATTTCACCAATAAGTGAAATACGTTTAAAACTTCTCTTCATATTTCTCCATAACTATTTGTTGGTAGTATTTTTTATAAATCTTACAGACCACGCATAACAAAACTTTTTTAATGCATTTTCAGCCACGAACTTTTAGAATTATTCGATTCTATTCTAGTATTGATTCTATTCTAGTCTAGTCTATTCTATTTTAGTGCAGGTATAAAAAGTAATGTTATACTGTAAAATATGAATTCAAGGAGTTACTATTCTTATTTATATCTATATTGTTATAACTCATTGCATTTTTGTATTGAAATTTAAGCCTAAATTATAAGGGGTTCTTTTTATAAACATTTATTTCAAAGAAACTATTTTGTTTTAATTCCAGGTAGATTGCGATTAGCCGAGCGCATTGCAAGCAAGACCTGCTATAGTACGGAATGTATAAAAGCAGGTGAGTAATCAATACGAATTGTTTTTATTCTAACTAAAAAGAAACTCTGCTTTTTACTTATAAGGTTTCACACAGCATTTTGAAAAGATAAAAGCTATTGATATAAATATTAAATAAAATAAATTGCAACTTGTTAATTTTTTACTCATTTTCGAATAAATAAAGCAAACGCAGATCTTAAATTATTGATTGGAAAGAAAAAAAAACAGCATCTATTTACTTACCAAAATGTGATATTTTATATCGAAGTTTACTTTTTATTTTATGAATTTTTGCATATCCCTTTAACGCAGATGAGTCACCAATTTCCTTTTACATTATTTTTCCCTAATACTCTAATTACAAGCAAGAAAATATTTTGGTAATTTTAATTCTAACGAACAGTCTAATAGATCTCTAAGAAATCTGTTAGATTATCGGATTGTACGTCAGAGTTTCAAAATTATAATAAGCATCACTTTGGGATTACTTAATGAAACATTCTAAAACAAAATCAAATATTAAGTTATTTCACGACTGAATAATTAATCAATATTAGATTTTTTATAAACCATTTAAGCTCTAAGAAAAATAAATAAGTTCTTATATAAATCGGCAATTACTATTCCAAAGCATCTTCCTTAATGTCCCTTTACGCCAAGCTCATTACTTTTTTGGCGACAACTCTCATTTTTAAAAGGATAAATGAGAAATAATTGCCAAAGCCATTATGATTATGATCCTTTTCTTGTTAAGTTTCTTAAATGGAGTTTTATTTAATACGGGGCATTACCATTGAAATGTCTTATGAGATTTCTTTTTTTTTCCTCTTTTTCAGACATGAATTATGAACTTTCAGTCTAGGATTCTGAATAATTTAAATGCTATTCTAGGATAACTCATATTTATATTTTGTTGGCAACCCACTAGATAGGACTTTTCGCCTAGTAAAATATTTCTTGCAGTTAAGTTACGAAAAAAATTCCGAAATTAAGATTTTTTATCTTCGATATTATATAATTTTATTAATTTCAGTGCACTTATCAATAATTCAATTATTATCCTATTCTCTCATTGCTAATATCCAATAAATAACATAAAAAATCTTCTCGAAGAGCTTTTAGCTTTTCAAACAAGGAACTTATGATAAGTTAAATTATAAAACACTTTGTAATATTTTCTAAGATATTAATACGCGTCAAAAGAAGGGAAAAGATTAGGGACTTTTCTTCTTTTTTTACTGAAGATTTCCCTCTCATTTTTTTGAGGATTATAAAAGTATTTTCTTATCCTTTTGATAAAACGTGACATGTTACGTAAAAATTTTCGTATAATAAGCAAAGAGTTTTCTTTTAACTCAAACAACTTAAGTATGATGAATAATTTATTATTTTTGACTCAACGCCATAAATAGATGCTTCTCCCCCCCCCCTCCTATTTCAAAGGAAAAAAAAATTTTTTACAAAATGAGTGAATATAGTACTTTAATACGTTCTTTTAAGTTAGTTTACGTTCTCTTCATACTTGAAACTACTTAATAAAGAATATATAATTAAAGAAAAAGTTTAAATTTTACATCGAAAACAAATATATTGACATTTCAGCGTGGCCGAGAGGCTGGAGTCGTCGCCCTTGAAAGATAGAGATACAGTGTTCGATCCTCAGAACGCTAGGAAAATTAAAACTTTCTAAAATAAGCTCCTTTATTTATTATTTCTACATCTTATAGAAGTTTATAGAATGTTCTAATATGTCATTTTCTGTTCCGTTATTATTCCTATATAAGACTGGGTGTTTCAGACCAAGGGCCCAGTTACTTTGTTCACTGTACTTTGTAGATGTTGTATAAATCTCTCCAACTTTCTAGACTAAATCCTATTTATTCTACGTGAAAATATAAGTTTCCACTTCTGTTTGAAACGGTATTTTTTATATTAAAATTATTATTTCAAAATGCCTATAGTTGTTTTTTTTAATAAACATTTAATCTTATAATGAATGAATATATTACTTTAAAAAAATTAAGTTTTTTACATACGTTGAAGTACTTTGCAAAAACTATATAATTTTAAAAGAAAATTTAAATTCCATATCAAAACTAAATATGTAACTTTACAATTCTGTTTTTATGGGTGCTTAATTCTTTGAAGTAATTATCTCAAATTACATATACTTCTTTTTCTAAATAACTTTATATTCACATACTGAATGAATATTGTACTTCAATTGATTTAAGACTGTTACATACTTTATAAAAATCATATATTACATAATTATAATTATATAATTATAAGTTTAATTCTGTAAAAACAATTAATATGTATGTTTACACCTCTGTTTTTATAGGTATTTTATTTTTTAAAGTAATTACTTCAAAACACGTACACTTTATCAGACAAATTTATATTACATTACAAATAAATATGTTTGTGAATTTATTAATTACATGAAAAGTTATTTTTATTTTTAATTTTTAACATGTTTTGAAAACAGGTGATAAAAATCTCAGTAGTAGTCAAACACGTAGGACCTCATGTAAACATCAACTAACGATCTCCTCGATTACTGTCCATTAAACACTCACATAAATTATATATTTTAAAACAATATGTAACAGCAGTTCACAGTAAACCAATCACATTACACACATTTTTATGGAGTTTAAATGTATGAATTTACACAGTTGTTTTCAATAGATTTTTCCTCTAAAGTGAGCATTGTGATAAACTGTTCTATACGCAACTCCTGGACAAATTATTAGACGCCCTATAAGATTCTATGCAAAATCTTAATTATCATGTGATATTATACAGCTTTATTTGGTTTTAACGCCACTGAAACCGGTATGCGTTTGTTGATTGCGTTCGTGTATCTATTGGTTAAATTAGACGATGCATAATATAAACTCGACGATTAGATTAATTAGAAGATATATTTTATAAATATAAAATATTTATTATATCAGGTGTTTATATTAGTATATTATAATAATTAGATCGAATTTTTAGACGCACTGCAGTGTTTTAGTAATTGCATGTTTTGCACGAATTTATATACAATACTTTTATATATTACATGGGTTTTTATTCAGGAGATTTTTTATATACTTCCTATCTGTGTTTATTTTTAACGTATTGCATTACAATGTTAACCAACTGATACACGAACGTAAGCAAGTGTAAACCTGTTTCAACAGCGTAAAAATAATACAGCTGTATTGTATTACGTGATAATTGGGTATAATATGAAAAAAACACAACTACTTCGATTTAGTAGGAACAACATATGACGCAATGCTAAACGAATGGAATTTAGTTGTTGTTTATTTAGTTATTGTTATTAGTAGTTGTTGTTATTTGTTTTAGTTGTTGTTGTTTATTTAGTTGTATTTAGTTTCAATAACTTTTCTTTATAATGCAATAAAATCTGGCGAGCAGCTATTTAAACGATCGAACACTTCGTTTGTTTATTTGTGGCTTGAAGTTAGGCTCGCAGAAAATGCCGTTCATGGGTTAAATTTAGTAGGAACAACACAACCTGTGACGTAGGCTATATTATACCCAATTAAGATCTAATATATATAATTCTCTTACGTGGCTTCCAAATTTTGGCTGTATTTCTTTTCCGCCAGTGGCAACGTTTGCTTTGTTTTGTTTACGTCACTATTTCTCTTACACGGCGAATTGACCAATGATTGCCGTTAAAAATGTCACATGCTAAATCTAGATGAGGTGGCTAAACACATAGCGCTTTTTAAAGCGGAAACTGAAATCACCAGAGAGCATCAGCTGCGTCAATCTCATACTATTAAGCTAGGCAGAAGTGAGTAGTCTTTGTCGATAGATCTCTATTTTAGTATTTTGTCGAAAGCGCTTTTTTTCACGAATTTATATATTAAGAATTTATTTGACGATTTTTAATTTACATCACGAATTACATTATAGCTCATTTATAATAGGTTTAACGAATTACATATCATTTACTTAAATTCAAATTTATTGTAATGACTTAATATCTACTAAAAAGATGTAATTTTTTTTTAAAAAGTAAGTTTTTGCATGGATTTGAATGATTGTTTTGAATTCTTAGAATTTTGTGCATTTGCAATGTACCTAAGTTAGTAGCGAGCGAAGCAAACCATATAAGATTGCGTAGCAATTTTCGGGGGTTGGCAAGCGTTAGCGAGCAGGGGGCGCAGCCCACTAGTTTTACATACAATCTTATAGTGCGTCTAATAATTTGGCCAGAGACTGCGTGTAATAAAGTCTTCTCTCTAGATTTATGTGAATGATTTTTCTTAAAGTCAATTGAATTAATTTTATTTTCAGCGTCCCGCATGATAGAGAAAATGGATCCATCCGTAGAGCCATGTGACAACTTCTATCAATTTGCTTGTGGAAATTATTTGACCCGAAACACAGTTCCGGATGACCACTATCTAAAGTCTACCATACAGACCATGCAGGACGACATGTACATCACTCTCAAAAGTACGATTTCTTTTATTATTGTTGTTGCTGTTGTTGATTGAAAATGCGATCAAAATAGAAGTGATAATCCTGATTGGATGCTTGTTATCGACGTCATAGAGAGTATCGATTCTAATTGGCTCAACTGTTATTTCCATTCTACTTCGAATAAGCCTATCCTGTCAAACATGAAATCCATATGCGATATCGCAATAGATTATTGTATCATGTGATAATCTTGTAACTAATGAATTTTTGTAAATTAATAAAACAGAGCTCAGGGGATAGAGCGTTCGCCTTCCAATGAGGTGAACCGGATTCAAATCCCAGCGATGGCTGGTAGATACAAATTTCGCATCCAGCTCGCAACGACCACAGTGCTGACATAAAATATCCTCAGTGGTAGACGAACCATAGGTTTGATTCCCCCTGCCATCAGGCTTACCTTGAGAGGTTTTGGTGATTTTCCTCTCCATGAAACACAAATGCGATTTGTTTCATCAAAAAGTCCTCCACGAAGGCAAATTTCTCTAATACTTGATCCACAAGTTCCCTTGTCTTCTGGATTGCGTTTAAAATTACAAGGCAGCGGAGTTGAACATTAGTAGTCGTAAACCCAAAACTTGGGTCCACTGTTCAATGACGATTATAAAATAAAATAAAATTAATAAAACACGTAATTAGTACTTAGAAAAGCAAAAGAAATGAGCTATTAATTTTCCTTTTTTACTTGAAGGAAGCAGACAGTAAAGCAAGCCTAACAGCTATACCATTAACGCGCCATTTTGTTTATAAACAACCAGCTGGAGTTGGGGTTATAGGGCAGGAGGTTGTGTATCAGCGATCTTCTCCTCCAATTGAGAATATTCAATTGTTCAATCAAATTTTGCATTAATGTAAGGCGTTCAATTTAACATAATTAACTATTTATTTTGTAAAAAAAAGTGCTGGATGCAGTAAATAATTTCCAAAAATGCAGTGGTTTCAAACTGTTAATTAAAAAAAATAATCTGAGAAATTTATTCATAGATACATTGATGCGTGTGTTATGCTATGAAAGTGTAGTTCAAATTTTTGTGAAACTGGCCACTGCAGTAGTCTGCACTAAAAGATAACATGGTGGAAAGTAAGTAAACATTAAATTTACGCCAAGACTCCTGTTTTCTTTGGTATGGCTGGAATCAGGATTATATACTGTTATAAAAATTGATGATATGCTGGCTACATTATAGTATTGATTTGATATTTAAAATCGTTTAAAATAAGAAGTGGTTACTGAATCATGTAGTTGCAAAGACTCACCTATTTTAAGAAACAAATATACCATATGCAGATTTTTATTACTGGAGTGAGCTATAGGAAAATAATTTTAATTAATTAATTTAGCAACGATTAATTCAACGATAAATTTTAAAAACTCTAGTTGTTTAGAAATAAATAAAGAATATTTTGAAATTGAAATTTGAATAGTGATATTGAATTAATAGAAATAGTTTTAAAAACCGCCCTTAATGCCGCTTTAATTATGTAGGGTAAACTAACCAGTGAAGGAACACTTAAGCTTCGCTTGCCTTTTAAAAAATCATATTAATTTCAAAATTCGTAATTTTAGTTAAATGACAGTGTCAACATATTTGTTACTAATTGCAAATTATNTCGATAGCATTCTGTTGCATTTTTGCCACGGGCAACCTCGATTGTAAGCCACGACTGCTGATCACCTTTTGAAAACATGCTTTAGAGCGATGGAAACGAAACTCCTCACATTAACGCCACGCAACAACTACCCTTCTAAGCAAATCGACTGTTTTTTGCACTCTTCACATCGACAACAGCCCCACCTCACAGCTCCCATATCTAATTTGCGCATGCCCGTCCTTCTGTGAGCTTAAAGGTTAAGTTGCCACTATTTAATTTACAACCCTCGTATTCAGGAGATTTTTTATATGCTTCCTATCTGTGTTTATTTTTAAAGTATTGCATTACAATGTTAACCAACTGATACACGAACGTAAGCAAGTGCAAACCGGTTTCAATAGCGTAAAGACAATGAAGCTGTATAGTATCAGCTGATAATTAAGATTTTACATAGAATCTTATAGTGTGTGTAATAAAATCTTCTCTCCAGATTTATGTGCATGATTTTTCTTAAAATCAATTGAAATAATTTTATTTTCAGCGTCCCGCATGATAGAGAAGATGGATCCATCCGTAGAACCATGTGACAACTTCTATCAGTTTGCTTGTGGAAATTATTTGACCCGAAACACAGTTCCGGATGACCACTATCTAAAGTCTACCATACAGACCATGCAGGACGACATGTACATCACTCTCAAAAGTACTATTTCTTTTATTATTGTTGTTGTTGTTGATTGAAAATGCGATTAAAATAGAAGTGATAATCCTGATTGGATGCTTGTTATCGACGTCATCAAGTGTATCGATTCTGATTGGTGCAACTGTTATTTCCATTCTACTTCGAATAAGCCTATCCTGTCAAATATGAAATAGATGATCGTATCATGCGATAATCTCGTAAATAATGAATTTTTGTAAATTAATAGAGCAGAGCTCTGGGGATTGAGAGTTCGCCTTCCAATGAGGTGAACCGGATTCGAATCCCAGCGATGGCTGGTTGATACGAATTCCGCATGCGGCTTGCACCAACCACAGTGCTGACATAAAATATCTTCAGTGGTAGACTGATCATAGGTTAGAGTCCCCTAGCCATCAGCCTTATCTTGAGAGGTTTTCGTGGTTTTCCTCTCCATGAAACACAAATGCGGTTTGTTCCATCAGTCCTCCACGAAGGCAAATTTCTCCAATACTTGATCCACGAGTTCCCTTATCTTCTGGATTGCGTTCAAAATTAATGGTAACGTAGTTGAACATTAGTAGTCGTAAACCCAAAACTTGGGTCCACTGTTCAATGACCATTATAAAAAAAAATTAATAAAACATATAATTAATACTTAGAAAAGCAAAAGATTTTTTTTAATGGCGGGCACTTGGGATGTATTGTCCCATTGACCAGGAGTGCCAGAACTGCTACTCTCTTCTCCCTACCCAGTGGACACCTGTGGCGAAGCCACGGCGGTGGAGCAGCGTCGCCCACGTCACACAACCACAAACCCGTTCATAGGGCTGGTCACATTCACACACTCATACATAGGAGAAAGGACATAGAACACAAAGAGAAAGAAACATCCATGCTCTGAGCGGGATTCGAACCCGCAACCATCGGCTCCGCAGTCAGGCACGCTAACCACTCGGCCACCTGATTGGCTAAAAGCAAAAGAAACTAGCTATTAATTTTCCTTTATTATTTAAAGGAAGCTGGCAGTAAAACAACCCTAACAGCTATAACTTTATCACGCCATGTTGTTTATAATCAGCCAGCTGGCGTTTGTGTTGTAGAACAGGAGGTTGTGTATCAACAGTCTTCTCCAGTTGAGAATATCCAATTGGGCAATGAAATTTTGTATTAAAGTAAGGCGTTCGATTTAACATCCTACTTTTTGAAAATAACTATTTATTTTGTAAAAAAAATGCTGGATGCTATAAATAATTGCCAAAAATGCAGGGGTTTCAAACTGCTAATTAAAAAAAATAATCTAAGAAATTTATTCATAGATACATTGATGCGTGTGTTATGCTATCAAAGTGTAGTTCAAATTTTTGTGAAATTGGCTACTGTAGTAGTCTGCACGAAAAGATAACATGGTGGAAAGCAAGTAAACATTAAATTTATGCAAAGGCTCCTGTTTTTTTTTCGTAGGGCTGGAATCAGGATTATATAATGTTATAAAAATTGATGATATGCTGGCTACATTATAGTATTTACTTGATATTTAAAATCGTTCAAAATAGAAAGTGGTTATTGAATCATTTAGTTGCAAAGACACACCTAATTTAAGAAACAAATATACTATATGCAGATTTTCATGACTGGAGTAAGCTATAGGAAAATAATTTTAAATAAATAATTTAGCAACGATTAATTCAATGATAATTTTAAAAAAATCTAGTTGTTTAGAAATAAATAAAGAATATTTTGAAATTGAAATTTGAGTAGTGAAATTCAATTAATAGACATAGTTTTAAAAACGGCCCTTAATGCCACTTTAATTATGTGTTTATGTAAATAAAATATTACTTAAATATATTAATGTATTTTTTAACTACCATCAACATTCATGCTTATTAACAAAATATTTATTTAGATTTATATTTGATACATTGTCTGTATTTTTTTTCAATGCAAATCAATACTTTATAGAATTTATGAATTTAATTGAAAACGTGAAACAAGAAATAATATATTATACATACATTTATACAGACATCAATTGTATATTTATATTTGTTTTCAGAAATCATTGAAATGCCTGCGTCTTTGAATGATTCTGAAGCTATATTAAAAGTAAAAAAATTATACGCGTCCTGTATGAATACCAGTAAGTAGCATTTTTGTTTACTATTTTGCTCACTTTGATTTCCCTGGTCATTATTAATGAAATTTATTGCCTTGCACGTTTACAGAGATTGCATGCTTCTGCAGACTTTAATTAAGAACATTCATATATATATATATATATATATATATATATATATACACACA